AATAAACAGCCATTAAGCGTAATAGTGATTTTGAAAGACAACAAAACTAACATAGCACATAGATTTTTTGAAGATATTTACAGTTCAAGTCCAATCAAGCACATTCGTACTTAAAATAAGCTGTAAAACATACAGCCAGAGAACAGTCCCTACCCACAAAAAATTAAACTGATAGTAAAAAAGACAATATCTTTAGAAAACACGTGGACTGATAACCTATTCCAAAGTGGTACAGATGCAATAGTGCCCGACAAACAACAATTGCCTCGAATTCGCATACAGTTTATTACTCTAATATGAAGTTTTAACCTAGATTACTTTTACTGGGACAGATTGAAAAATGGGGTACTCCCCCACGTTTCCAAGGCCACCGTCTAACGTTTTAAATTTTTTATTGGTGTGTTTATTTTTTAACTTACGCCCCCCAGTGGCACAGCGGTATGTCTGCGGACTTACAACGCTAGAATCCGGGTTTCGATACCCGTGGTGGGCAGAGCACAGATAGCCCATTGTGTAGCTTTGTGCTTAATTAGAAACAAAAAATTTCTTAACTTATAGAATAGTATATCTTTGGTTAAAAGTAGAATGAAACAAAATGTAAAGGTAACTCGTATTTTGCCACCGGTTTGTCAAAACTAAAATTACCTAGGTGTGTAACACACGAGATTAACGTAGGAATTTTCAATAATTTGTCCAATTTGAAACATGTATTAATGAATCTTTTTACCTTTCCAATGAATCACCAAAGATTTTCGATTTTTTTTTCATAAGGCATACATTTCATACATTCTGAGGATTAAATTGTATTACAGTTTAACAACTCGTCTCTTTAGGCATAAAAGATGTGTATTAATTTTACAAAGTAGAGTTTTTCACTTTTACCTTACAGAATGTGCGAAAAAGAAAGATGAACAAAAAACAACAACAACAACAAAGAAATGCTGTCAGTAAGATCGCTAACAGGAAGATATTGTCATCATCTTGGTTACTACTTATTAACTGTATGTCTTATTACAAGTTTATTTTTATTTTTAACATTGAAAGTGATTATACAAGAATTATGCCTTAAAGAGAAGCTGACAGGAGTGAATGAAAATAGTTCACTTTTTTTCCACTGGAGTTGTATACAGCAGAAACAATGACCTTCAGTGAAAGATTATAAAATCAAGATCACTTAGTTTTTCAGCTGCTTTATTATATCTTGCACCTTCATACATATGAAGGTAATAGGTGAAAGGTGTATAATTAAGTTTGTTTGTTTGTTTGTTTTTAATTATGCACAAAGCTACACAAGGGCTATCTGTGCTCTGCCCACCACGGGTATCGAAATCCGGATTCTAGCATTGTTAGTCCGCAGACATACCGCTGTACCACTGGGGGGCGTATAATTAAGAAATGGCATTAGTTATTTGTGTTAGAAAGTGCTTGAAGATTAATTGTAACGAAAGGCTGAAACCTTTATTTTTTATACGTCAAAGAGAAAAATATCGAGCAGAAAGGCTGATGGAGATAGATTCACAAACAAATAAACCTCCTTATCTGTTGTTATAAAAATATAAATATTTCTTATTCAACGCTTCTTCTCTTAATAGATCATTCACTGTTTCACACAAACAAAAAAGAGCATATTAATAAAAGATTTAGCAGTTAAAATTCTTTACGATTATGATTACATTGCTGAGCATCGTCTTAAAATAGAATATTTATTAGGGATGTCCGATTACGTTAAATTAAAAAAATGCATCAAAATTTGTCCTATTGAAACTATTCTTACAACATAACTTGGATTTATTTTAGAAGAGGAGTACGTAAAAGTAAACCTTTTTCTACATTGTTTTGTAACAAATATTGATTACAGTTAAAATAAATTCACTTGTTGATTTAAGCCATTTAATAACTTATGTTTTGGTAGTTCAAGTCATTTTTATACTTAAAAAATGCATAGTCTCAGCCTGTAAATACTTCTCAGACTCGTTTTGTAGTTCCTGATTTTTCCAAATGAACCCTGGAATCTTGACATTTTGTGTAGTTACTAATGGGAAACCACAGTTTAAACGATAACAACTGATGAAAAAAAAATATTGTTACGACAGCGGAAGTCAAGTGACGCTGGTAACACGTGATGAGTTTCTAGAAGGATCATGAAGGCTCGAGTGTTTGCCAGACGCCCTCTATTTTAACATATAAGCCCGGCAAATAAAGCGGAGATAATAATTGCAGATTTACAGATAATTAAGTCAAGTGAGCAGTAGTGACCGTAAGTGAAGTGCGTGAATCGATGTGAATTATAACGTGTGTTTAAGTTAAAGTGACTGTGGAAATTCTGTGTATTGCAAAGTTGTATTGAGAAAGAATAAACTAGTTTTATTTAAGAAAGAACTTGTGTCGCTGAAGTTCCCCGGGAAGAATTTATATCGGAAATTAACAAACGACCAGAGACGTAACAATATGTACTAAATGTGTGATGAAGGCAAATCGTCAAATCGGAGAAGGGAAGTTAATCCATTTATTATTAATCTGTGCTTGTTTTGGTAATAGTAGATTCATGTTTTTAAGGCTACTTTTTATCCACGCAACCGTTTTAGATAAATAATATTTTGAGATGACTTTCAGAAATTGGAGTGTTATAGATGTCCAACACATATCTAATGATGCCTTTATTTAAGGGAAGTCGTTTAAAAATTAATAATCGTACTTCTTTAGTATCGAGAAAATAATAAGTGTTCCCTATGTTTTGTAATATTTATTTAGAAAAATGTATAAATTATAAACTGTGTGATGAAATTTAGTGCGATCTGTAAAAATAAAAAATAAATGTGCTTTTCGTGTTTCAGTAGTAATATAGATGTTCAATAAATCATCACAAAACTCCAGTACACTAAACATTTAATACTTGCAAATACTATCCCTAACCTTACATGCTAATATACATACAGGTTTTAATAACAACAAAACAACAACAAATAATGATAGATGCATGCTGACTCCTTCTTTTAAGTGTATTTGTTGCATTACAATAAAGATAATTATGGAGTATCAATTAACATGTCAGTTATGTGGCTAACTTATTTAGGTTACTTACTAATACTACTAGGTATTAATGAAACTACGATTATAGTTTTTTTTTTTTTGCTGATTGACTATATTCATAAGTACAGATATACAAAATATGTTAAAGCAGCTGAGGCATAATTAGTAACTTTTATATAAAGTTGCACGTCTTAATAATCCTGAATTGATTCTATTTGATAATATATTTAAAAACTTCACATTATGCAATCACTGACAATAACAATCACATTAATATAAAAGAAGAAACAATATATTCGCTCCTCTTCCAGAAAGTACTTGTAGATACACATACTGGCGTCAAATACCCGTTTTAATTTTTAATGGCAAACGATAAAAAAATCAAATTTAAATAAAATAAGTACTATCTAATTATAACGTAGTCACATCTACGTAAACTTCCATAGACCCGTATGTATTTCGACTGCACACTAATCAGATGAACTTCTGAATCGTTTACTTTTAATGCAGTGAGATAACCAATCAAAAAACTCCAAAAAAAAATAATCAAAGCAAACCTCTTTTTTTTTCTTTTCAAATCAGAAAGTAAACTGGAAAAAAATATATTAGTTTATAGAAAGCTATAATATATCATCGATGAGGCCACAATAAGCAAACGTCGCCAAACCATCACATATATAAATTGAATAAAAAATTCACTTTTTATCGAACGAAAAATCACTATATTGTTTTGTATAACGATTTTTATGATTAACTAGAATTTATTATGATCTTCACTTCTACTAACTTTAAAAGTAATGTTGTCTAGTCTAAGGTACTAATGTCAAAATCAACGTCAGAATCATAAACGCATTTTCCGATAAGTAATACGATATTACTAATAGCATTAAACATGCTTTTAAATATTATACAGTTGTTGTTCATTAAAGGGTTTCTTTGTATTTTAGACAGGCAAAACCTTTCATATTAATTTTAAAACTATGAAACTCTCATTAAAACCTGGTATAATACTAATAAGAGTAAAATTACACTTACATTATTGATGCCATAACTCCAAAGTTTTTCTATATCCATACTTAAATCTTATATTTCAATATAATTACTTCTATCAATTTCCTAGGACTTTGAATTGTACAATATATATTTTGATGCCAGTTGCGTAAAGATCCCAAAATTGTAAAAGTTATTTCAGTCATAAACGTTACTTATGTTTGCCAATTTATTGTTATAGTTAAATACTTTAAACTAACATTAACCTTCATTTTTAATTTTACATGTGGTGTTACAGCAATACCAGTGTTGTCATTTTGAAACCAGTGCATCTGGAACACTAATAAATAACTTAGTAACCGTGATTGACCTTTGACTTCTGCAAATTCTTCTATGATTATGTTTCGGGAAAACAATAATACATACTTGTCGGGAAAAGGAAGTCTCTTTTTTTTTCTGTAGTAGCTGGTCGCCGGAATGTGAGAATATTTATGAAAACAAATATTATGTGATCAGATTTAAGGTCGAAAAGGGTCAACAAAAAAAGAAAGATCCAATCGTTGACCTCTTCTAATGAATTGAATCTAAAGAAAGAAAGAAAAAAAGACACATGCACACACACACACATATATATACGCTCAATTTATTAATGATAGAGTTGAAAATGAATATATTAACTTTATAATATCACCATAAAAATGATATATCAACACAAATAATGTGAGACAACATTCTACTTATAATGATTCAATATATGAAAAAGGCGTAAGTTTATCTATAAAAATTATACAATTAGTGTTTCTTTATATGTTTATGTGTGTATATGTGTTGAAAAGATCTGAAAGAAAAAAAATGATGTGATATTTTAGCACCTTATAGATATTTAGATTTCTGAATTCGTCTTTTACACAAATTGACAAAAAGGATCTTCATAAGAAACCAGCGTTGTACTTTTTATTTATCGTAAATTTGTAAGCATTGAGTTAAACTGCTGATTAAGTAAAACTGTGCAGTTATTTTCAATAAACACTATCATAACCAACTTGTAATAAAACGAAAAACCACAGTTTTCAGTGAACGTTTAGGAAAATGATGAGTGTCATTAAAGGACAAAAACGATCCATTGTATTAGAAAAAAAAAAGATTAGAATGTGGTTTCAACAGCTGTATCTAATGTTAACCATGATATTTATCATAGATAATAAAAAGTCATCATGTTCTACAAGCCATGTTGATAGTAACATCCCCAAAAGTTGTATTTTAACAGGTATACTGTATAACAACACGATCTAATTTGAAGTGTTATTTGTTGTTGTTTAATACACATTTCTTCATCCTAACTACGCAATGGACTATTTGTACCCTCTCCACTGCGGGGGAATCGAATCCTGAATTTCTGCTCTGTAAGCCCGTAGACTTACCACTGAGCCGCCTGGGGATTTGGAGTGGTCCTTTGTGGGGAACGTATTGAAACTTTCAGTGAATAATATGTATATGAGTACACAATGGGGAGTCAGCTTTACAGGTGGGAGATCTCTATACACATAAAGCAAGGTTATACATTATTCTGTCTGATGTCACACGTTGTTCTGAGGAATTGGTTGAGATAATTTCGAAGGATCTCAGGTGGACTACCCAAAGATCGAGTTTAAATGGCTAAGCAATCGGATGAACGATTCAAAATTAGAAGCCATGTAAATTTTACCGTCTTAATGCTGCAATGACAGTAATAAAATACGCGAAGCCGACGTCAAATGAAAGTAGCGCGTAGCAGTAGTACCTTTGCATCGGTCGCACAGATCGTGCACTATGGCTCAAAATACTGAAAAGGGCGGCCTATGCCTTCATTTATAGCATTACTTTTTCAACCCTGCATTGCTGGGAATTTTAATAATTGTATATCCATGGGTTGCTCGGGCTCAAGAAAAATGCAATGCCGTCCTATGAAGCATCTGCTTATGTTTTCGACACTTCTAATGCCGCCAGGATACATCTATGCCCACTTTTAACACCACACAAGAACTATATATTTAGTGCAGTTGATCCTAACATGGATTTTGCTAACTAAAGTTTTTCACACGACTCAAACGGTTGAATGGCAATACTGTAAATTCATTCGAATGTTGCGATGATCACATGAAGGCACAACTTTGTGGCCACAATAATTATGATGTATTAATGTTATAAAACGTTATAACCAAACTCGCTCACTATCTTTGTGTACATTTTCAATCATCTCTGATATGAGCCGTTTTGGGCTCACATTTGCACCCATTCTTTAATGTGTTTTTAATAAAGCATGTTTAAGTAAAATGTGTTCATTCCTGTTTGTTGTAATATGTTACGTTTTTTCTATGGTTGCATCCAGTAAGAACAATAGTTCAAACCTATTTTATTAATAAAATCAATATTATTGTAGTTACGCGAACAATTCTCAGCAAAATAACTCCGTGCATTAGTATTTTGGACTGCACAATATTAGCATTGATGAAACTGAAAATTTTGGCAACTGGAAGAAGATGAAGCATAGGTTAATGGTCGAAAAAAATTCCAATAACTCATTCATAATAACTGCAATCATTATACGATTATTTTTTATTTTAGTTTAATATCCAGCAAAAGATTTAGTTCGAATTATTTGTGTAAATGCAATGATGCATAACGAGCTACTTGCGCTGTGCTAAATATAGTAATGGAAGATCGAATTTTAACGCTATAAGCTCATAATATCTTGGCGTACCATCATTTTTAACGCTATAAGCTCATAATATCTTGACGTACCATCATGAAAGTGTAAACTAAGTTTCTCAGTAGGAGTCAACTTTACACGATAAAGGTATTGCTAAGAATAGTAGCGTTGGTGTAAACTAAACCTAAAATTAGCGAGATTTAGAGCTTGTCTTAATACACTTAATATCATACTTTTAATAAATAATAACTAGTTTTTGTACCAAAGGTAAATAATTTAGTGAATAGACTATCTGGACTTATACAATAGTTATTTTATTTATTTGTTGAATTTCACGCAAAGCTACTCGAGGGCTGGCTGTACTAGTCAGCCTTCAACACCAGTCACTGCCAACGTTTGACTACTCTTTACCAACAAATTGTTGGGTTGACCGTCACGTGTCCACGGCTGAAAGGATGAGCACCTTCTGTGACGGAGTTCAATCCCGCAACCTGCAGATTGCAAGTTGAGCGTCCTAACCACCACGCCATGCAAAACAAATTATTTTATCGTATTTTTATTTTATATTAACGTAAGTACGTTAAGCAATTTTGAATCAACGTTAATAAAATGAGTTCGGTATATTTTTTGTTTATGCAAACACATAACACTTTTTTTTTCCTATTTAATCTTTAAAGTAAATTTTTTTTCCAGGTCCCATCACAATTGCGGGGGCGTTAGTTGCAGTGTGTATTATATTTCACGAATTTCACATAACTTCATAAACAGTTTTAAGCATGAAATAATCAGCGGTCAACATTGTTTTTCTTCAGAGTATTTTCTAAGAGTTCGATAGCAAAATAAAAGTATAAAAAAGCTCACTAGCTTGACCTTATTATATATTGCAACACATGGCCGGTTTAAACATAATAAAAGGCTAAATTTCTACGCAATTCCCAAAATTACGAATTATTAAACTAACCGGTGGACCGTTTATTTACCTTTTCTTTTTTTTTTTTAGCAAGCAAAATTTATTTTTGTGTATGTGTTTTCTATCATAACAAATTACAGACATAAACATGTTTTTAATGTCATTCAAAACATCTTGATGTTTTCTTTCTTCTCACCAACTGCTCTTGGAGGCGGATAGTAAAAATCGCAGGTATAAATACATGTTTTTCTACTGAGGTAGTTAATTAAGGAAGTTCTTGGGGATCGAAGACCACTTTGAGTGACATTGCTTCAAGTGCTAACGGTAACAATTTTCAACCCCCTTCCGAAAGGTTCGAATTAGAGACTGAACTCCAATTTGGAACTACTGATTTTCAACCCTCAAATTAAAGGTATTGTGATCTTGGAAAAGGGAGGACATTTTAGCGTCCCACAACCGTTGAATTAGCTAAAAAAAAAAAAAAGAGGAGGAGGAGGCACAAATAGTGTATTGTTTGCGTATCTAGTCATTAATAAAGTGTTATCGGCGTTTAACTGTACAGAAATTCACTGTAAAGTCAGTCCTATAGTTTTTGTTTAAACCGTAGACAGTCGCCTTAAATATTTTCTGTAATTAATAGATGACATAAGTAGAAAGACACGTAGAATTATAAATTGTTTTATTTGTTATCGTAAAGAAAAACTTATATGCTTGAGTTGTCTTTTCGTATTTTTGAGTTTGTTGTAGTTAAGCACAAAGCTACACAATGGGCTATCTGTGCTCTGCCCACCACGAGTGTCGGTAAGTCCGCAGACATACCGCTGTGCCACTGGGGGGAGGGGGATATTTTTTAGACACCCTTAACTAGTGTATGAATTTGACTATAAATCACTCATATCGGATGAAGAAATGTTTGTTTGCGAGAACAGTTCGTACTACTTCTTCGACAAAGTTATCAAGTCCACATCGTCATTCATCATCCACCAAAACTTATGTGAGTAGCGATAACGCCAAGGATTAAATGTCCGTTTTAATTTATTTTTTTCTTCACTTTGTAAAATCGTTCTTAAATGTCAGCCATAACAAGAAACAAACAATAACACTATTCAGTTTGCAAACGGCAAAGTAACTCGATTTTAATCATAGTAATGACATATTCTAAAGTGTCGTATACATGATTTTCATAGTAATGACATATTCTAAAGTGTCGGATACATGATTTTCATAGTAATGACATATTCTAAAGTGTCGGATACATGATTTTCATAGTAATGACATATTCTAAAGTGTCGGATACATGATTTTCATAGTAATGACATATTCTAAAGTGTCGGATACATGATTTTTAAAAGGTCTGTTCATTTTGGTATTAGATACTTTTAAAGAGACATAAATAGCGTCTAACGACATTATTACTGTTTAAATTATTCTATCAACAACTTCTTAAGACGACATCTTCCTTGCATATATTTGATACTCTACAACTTCATCTGAATCTTATGCAATCCATAGGCTAAAAGGCCTGGTCAGACTCCTAAGGTTCAACCATAGCCATTCATAGTATAGCACTGCTGAGTAAATGGAAGGTAACCAGTCACAACACGCGCTGCTTACGATGTTACTCTTAACCTGATAACAGGATTGACTGTCATAGTTATAAAACTCCGAAAGTGAAGGTGCGGAGCACGTTCTGCGACGTATTGCGGCTCGAGCCTTAGGCCTTCTGATAGGCAGCACAGCATACTAACGTAACTACTAAGTAACAATCATCTTCCTTCATAAAAACAAGATACAAAAATATTTCTTATTTTTCATCAATCGAACTGTGAAATTATTACGGACTAATTTAATACCTACAGAAAAGAATGACTAAGAATTTAAAGTTACTCCCTACCACGAGTCTCTGAAATGTCACACATAATCAATAGTATACATGTTGAAGACTGTTATGATCACTTGAAAAGGATTTATGCGACGGGAATGAGCTATATTTTCACTAACTTGAAAATATGTTTAATTTTATTTTGCCTACTATATAACAAACAGAATTTGATATGATTACCTACTATATAATATAAGCAACAAACGAGTCTATTCTAACATTTTTACACAATATCTAACTTGTTTTGCTAATACATGTAATAAACAGGTGACTACTCGTAACGGGGTCTAATTTATGTACTATTTTGAGTCTAACTTATAGTTAAAACAAATAACAAGTGACATTATTTTCAAACGAATTCTTCAATCTGATTTCGTTATTTTTAGGATGTTCTACCTGCCAAACAAGTGATTTCTGCTAAGTTGCAATCTTGAAAACTTAACTTTGTCTAGTCGTGTGAGTCTATATTGTCATTATCTTGACAGGTTATACTTTATCTGGTGTCATTACTTCTTTATTGTCTACGTAGACGCGTGGCTACTACTATTATGTGGAAAATGTAAACATTGTATGATATTCTAAGCCTAACCTACATTTAACACAAGTATAGGGTCTAGTTTTTCTGGTCTCCATAAAAATCTGAGTTGTATTTCAAATATGCAGTTGTTAGCATTATCTTTAGAGGGTCTTCATTATCTGATCTCTCTATGTTTTAACTTATATTACAAGACATGTGATAAGTACCATTATCTTGACAGGGTCTACCTTGTCTGGTCTCCAAAACAACCCCTAACCTACAAGAGTCGACCATCATATCACACCAGCTAGCATACGTCTTATTGTTACTCGCACACACTGGGATCTTAGGTTGCCAAGAGCATGCGGGTGGACAGGTGGTACACCTGGGTATTCTCGTGTTGGGGTCAATCAAGCACTTCTTGGTTCGTCGACACCTGATGTTTTTACATGTAGCATTCGCTGCGGAAGAAATTTTCTGATTGTTCAGTGGTTAATAATATATACAAAACAAAAGAACAAAATAATATTTACATATAAAATAGTGATATTTTTAATATGATATTTACTCACGTAATTTGATTTTTTTATTCCATCTTAACAGTTATACCTCGGTTTATCTGAAAATGCCACAACTCAAAGATCAAAGCTGCACAAAAATTAGCAGAGATTGCAGTACCAACTCTCAATCAATCAAAACCGCAAGTTCCTTAAAAACAAAAGTACGGTTTTTGCTGTTAGATGAAACTAAAACAAACTTAAGAATAAAGACGATGATCTCACAGTGTGTAATAAGATTTTACTGGGCCTCAAAACACATGTTTCAAATATTTTACCTTTTGGATATAACCTCATTAAAATGGCAGTGATTATAGGCGACATTTGAAATTTTCTATTTTCCTAATACAATGATTTTGTTTTTGAATAATGATAATAATCATAAGATTGCAGTGAAGTTTCAGTGAGCTAATTTTATACAATGTAAAAATAAGCAGCCCAGGATCTCAAAACCGTAGTGGTTTTGACAGAAAATACAGCAAGGCTAACATTAGGGTGCTTTCTCAAGGCATAATTTTCTAACGTTACTGGAAACGTAGAGTCTTGAAAGACAATCGATTATTTTCTTATCATAAAAATCACTGGAACCATTAGCAGGTTACAGAACGTGAGAACGTTATATTAAAATGATTTTGGAGCATCATTACGTCGTAACGGTCCATGTCGTCACGTCCGGTGATGCTCTATCTGACGATTTTGTATCTTTACTATAACCCTAAAGCGTATCTCCCATTTCAAAAGGCTTTTTCGTAAAATTATCACGTCCAAAGTACATCACTCCTTCTTGAGAGTTTTCTATAATGTGCCTAGTGTACGAGGACGATGGTTTCAACAATCCGATGGCACAGAAATCTATATTTACTCTGCACGGTAACTTGATCGGTGTGTCTTCGTATGGAATCACATGAACATCTTCATTTTCCAGCTACTTTAGGTATGCACCTGTTGAACGGGAGTCATGACTGAAAGCTGTATGTTGGTGAACCCATACCCTGTTGACCTCGTGGAGCCTTCTTCTTTATATTTCATACTGTTGACTGAGACACGTGACCGGTTTTTGCCACTGACCTTTGTGTTCGCAAATTCTCACCTGTTATAAGACACCGCACTTTCTTTAAAGATGTCCTGGTGCTCCAAGTTGACCCATATTCCTTTGTTTTGCAACGTCATTAAGAACAATGGATATAGCCGTTTTGGAAATTTTAAATTCCCGATCTGAGTGTATTAATATCTTGCGTCGGAAAGGGCTGTTACGTTCCCTTCCTAAAAGTGATCAGTTTTTAGTAGCATCACCCCACCTACGAAAGGCCAAACAAAGTCGAAATGTAGATATAATCGTTCTGTTCCAACGTGGCTTTATACCGGTTGTGGTTGTCAGATGACTTGCCGATTTAGATGTTCAAAATTGTTTTATTATAGCGTACCAACCCTCTCTATAAGTGTTTTTCTCTAAAATTTTAATCCTTTAATAATGTTTTCAAAGCGTTAAAAATGTAAATTTCTACTCCCTTCCTATTATTCCATTCCATTAGTACACTACCAATAAAATTATTTAACATCAACTTCCACACTAACATTTACGACATAAGTACAACTGTGATAAGCTTGAACATTTTCTCGAAAAAAGTTTATGTCCATAATTAAGGGTCAGAATCGCTGCGAATCATCTTTGTCTAACAGCGAAGAGAAAATTATATGAAGCAAGAGTCTATGGTTGATATATAAACGTATATAATGTCAGAAATTTGGTGGTCATTATCGTATGATTTGGATCCCTATCAAAAAGTCGCAGCAAAGACAATATAAACATGTAGCTGTGTGGTTTCTAAAGAGATATATGTTTACAATGATTCTCTTTTAAAGATAAAATAGCATCTAAAAACAAAACAGGGTCTAACACCGTGTATTTCTGTAATTTTTTATCACTGCCAGGAAAATTAGCACAACGTTATACATAGTTTTATGGGTGTAAGATATCAAGCTTAGATACTTAACTGTTGGACTTTACGACATGTTAATTCTAAGATATACAGCGTATAAACAGTATAATACGCAAAGAATGGAAAACGTTCTTTATTAGACTAAACAAAAAGTTTGCGTTATGTTTCCTTTCATCTGAAAATGAATGTTGTTATGTTAATTATTTATTATCACAATTTACTATTGTCTAATATGTTGCAGTAACCAGATCGTGTATACAAAGAAATTTCAGATATTTGTATTATACTAGTATTTCGATTGTCAAATCTTGCAACCGCCAGCGGCTTTGTAATTGGTAATTATATATCGTGAATATATATTTATAAACAAATATGGTATGATTACTTTTGCAATTAATGTTTTATGACTATTTCTAGTAACAGCATAGTAGGGGCTGTTTTCATTCGACTGTTAATTTATCAAATGTGCGTATATGTGTAAGATAACTTTGAATTAACATATATAAAAACATAGAAAGGAGGAGTAACTATATAGCAAGAAATCACCTCACTTTGTTACTTATTGAATAGCACTGGAGTGGCATTTTCTTATTTTAATATTTGCTTTCACTTAGAAGGACCAATTTGTTTGTTTGCTTTTTGAATTTCGCGCAAAGTTACACAAGTGTATAAACAATGTATATAATGTATGATAACTAAATAGTTTTTATCTGCGCTAGCCGTCCCTAATTTAGCAATGTAAGACTAGAGGGAAGGCAGCTAGTCATCACCACCCACCGCCAACTCTTGGGCTACTCTTTTACCAACGAATAGTGGGATTGACCGTCACATTATATCGCCCCCAAGGCTGAAAGGGAGAACATGTTTGGTGGGACGGGGATTTAAGCCCGCGACCCTCAGATTGGGAGTCAAGCGCCCTAACCACCTGGCCATGCCGGGCCTAGAAGGACCAGAACTTAACAGTGAATTAAAAGTAAACGTTCTAATTATAATCTACACTTTAAATATAAAATTATATTACACACATAAAAAATAACAGTGTTAAAAGCTCCTATAAAACAGTAAAAACTTAGATAAAATCACTGAGCATAAAATCAAATAAAATACTAATAAAAATACCGAACTGAAATAAAAAACTCATATTAACGTAAGAAAAACAACATCTAAAACACCAAGTACTTAACTTGATGTAAAACTACATTTTACAATAAAATGACATTCATATAATAAATATTTTTTTTACCTTTTTAAAAATAATGTTTCATTAACGTGTAAAACTTCCTGTGTACAATTACCAAAAATCTTTAGAGCAATGAACAGCGCTAAAATTAGCGCGTGTGAAATAAGATTGGTGTAGCATGATTACACAGGCCTGCGAATTTAAACTTAATAAAAGTTTGTTTTGGTTTTAACAGCGGATTTTCCATAATTCAGCTACGCAGATTTCGAAAACAATAGTAATTTTTTTCTATCATGTAAGGAAGTTTTACAAATCGGGAAGAAAAAAAAACTCTTACTTAAATCAAATTATTATTTCGTTTACCACAATGAACATTTGATATTGTCATGTTTGTTAACAAAAATATAATCAAACTGAAGAAAAGAGAAGAACATTAATGTCAAACGAATGTACATCCTCATTCATCCTGATTTTTGTGTGTGAAATCTTAGTCTTTTAGTTTCAAAACTGCGTGTTGT